AATCTATATATCTATTCAATAAAATTTGATTAATTAAGAACCAAATCAAAGTAGAATAATTCGTCAAGATTTATTTTTTTAATTTTTTTAATATTTTTCTTTTTTATTATTACCGCCACTGCTTTTAACTTCCTGTCATTTTGTACATTTCCCTTTCAAAATAAAAATTTACTAAAATAAATACTTTTACGTTCAAATACCGTGATTTCATTGTTAAATCTTCACTGGACTATCTCCTTTCTAAGCTAGAGAGCTGCGCTGCTCCACTTTCCATCGCAGTGTAGCAATTGTGCAATTGTTACGAACGTTAAGCATCCCAAAGGCGCCGCTCACTCCCAGAAACGGTGCACTCCTCAGCTGTGCTTTTCTTTGGTTAAAAATAAAAATGATATAAATTGTTATGCAGTTCGTTGGAAAACGCATTCGATTCATTACACAATCAGAGTCAAGGTCTTTTACGTGGATTAAGTGAATTTATAAAGAAATTTTTAAAAGAATTAATTCCAGTCAAGAACATGACAGTGATGCAATGGGTGAGTGGATGAGGTAGCACAGTGAAATTATAAAGACAATCGAGTATTGTGATGCATTTTATGCAATTTATATTAAAAGCTACGAAAATAATACGTAAAATTCTTTTAATTAATTAAAATCAAAAAGAAAAACATACGAAGAGAGAATTTTATTATAATTATCAGAAAAGATAGTGATAAGTGTTATTTAAGCTGATACGAAAAGCTCATGTCTTTTAAAAAGAGTTTGGAGATATAAATTCTTAAAACAGATATATATTAAAAAGATCATTCTGCAATATTCAAATATCATATACCTCAATAAAAGTTAAATTAGTGATGCTTAACCAGAATTATTCCACAAAGTAAGAATATCTTATATCTCAATAAGGTTTAGTTGATTGAACAAGTTATTACCGTAAAGTGAATAATTCCCAGTTAATATAGATACGACAGTGATCTAACTAAGTTGGATCGATTGCAACTCAACTGTGGATGACTACTAAGTGAATGCTTAATTAAGACTAGCAATTACTTAATTTAATTAATTTCATATTTTAAACCCAAAAAAAATCATATTTTAGAGATGGTTATGGCCTTCTTGATGAGAACTAGTATTAATTTCAAGTTTTAAATAAAAAAAAATTTTTTTTGGATGAAGATTAAGACCTTCTTGATTGCGACTAGGAATTAATTTCATATTTTAAACAAAACAAATCAGTTTTGAATGAAGGTTATGAACTTCTTCAATGAGACTTTTATAGATTGGTGACTTGAGGCAGCCACCAAGAAAACAGTGGTGATGCGTCTTTCATTGTTTTTATAATTAAAACATTGATGAAGGAAGAAAAATGTTTAATATTTTACATGACTACCGTCGGTAGTCAACCGATAACTTAATGTCTTATAAGAATCCAACAAGCTATCAAATACACGAGTAAGTTTTATCAAACAATATTGTTATTTAGATTTTAACGTTGTCAAATATTACTCAATTGTCTGTAAACGTCCAAGATTTGAAATTTCAATTAGAATTTTCACATGATCACCATTATTATTATCACAGTCATCATTGCTCTTCTTAATTACCGTAAACACTCCTAGTCAAATGTATGATATGTTAGCTTGAACTAACAGACTTATTAACTTATTAATAGTCTTATACTGTCCTGGTTTGCTATTGAAACTATTTCAAAGAACAACACTTTAGATACTATAGGTTTCGGTGTAATATTGCCCCTTCTAATATTAAAATTATTAAATAATATTTTAAATATATCATCTGAAATCACTTGAAGACCTATAGGTTTTGGTGGAACATAGAAATAAACAGCATCAACGATATTAAACGATATTAAAAACTACACTGAACTTTTTACAGAGCACTGTAGACTTAATTACATGAAGATTATAGGTGTGGTGACTCCTGTCGACTCTGTCATAAGGAGAAGGAAACATCAGAACATGTTCTATGCAACTGCCCAGCGGTGGCAAGACGTAGACTCGATTACGTTGAAAGCGGGATCTTAGTCCCAAGTCAAATAGGTAAAATCAACCCACAGCAATTACAAGATTTATAAATAGTCTAAAATTATGCTAGTTGGGCCTTTAGGCGCACAATAGATCTCTTAGGTCGGGGTGCTATAATAAGCTAGAGAAAATATATAAATAATATTAAAATAGTCATAAAATAATTGAGTTTATGTGTTATCTAAAACAGAACTTCCATGTCGCAAGTAAATATTTAAGTCTAAAGCATCTTTAAAAAAGGATTTTTGGTTATTATTAAGAAAAACGTTAAAGAAGTTTACGTTTCTTCCATTTCACTATAAAATGTAGTAAAATATATAAAATAAATAATATAAAATAAAAAAAAATTGGTAAAACACATTTTTATATTTATAATATTTAAAAACTTTTTATTTAAAATACTTATTCCCCAACAATTCCTACTACTAAACACAACTAAAAGCTCTCAAAGTTGGTCAATTACTTTCATTCAAACAAAATTAACCTCTTTTTAATCTGCTAATTAGAAAAATAATTACTTTAAAAATATAAAATAGAATACCTAAAAGAAACCGCATTTAAGAGTTAATTTGCGTTGGTGTGCTTATAAAAATACTGGCAAAAAATTGTTATTTTTAAAATGAAAAAGTGATTACACATTTAAATGCACATACGTTCACACGAAAAGCGAAAAAAGTGCTACTTTTAATTCATTTTATCTCACAGACTGAAGCATTTCACATTTATTAATTAAAATTCAAACACCAGATGAGAAGAATACACACACTCACACACTAAACAGTAGGAAATTACATGTGTGTAATGT